CTGGTAACAAGAGTTGGGAATTGTAAGCTATTCTGTTCTAAACCCGTCTCAACATTCCCAGTCCCTTTGATTAAATTAACGATTCTGTTATCATTTTTTAAGATGCAACTGCCCTTGTCTTAACTTGTGGGGTGTGGGGTGATTAAAAATACACTGTGGGGTGATGGCGCAGTGGATGAGACACATGCCTTTGGTGTGAGAGACCCGGGTTCGAATCCACTGTGAGACACCAATGTGTCCCTGAGCAAGACACTTAAACCCTAGTTGCTCCAGAGGCGTGCGACCTCTGACATATATAGCAATTGTAAGTTGCTTTGGATAAAAGCGTCAGCTAAATGAATAAATGTAAATGTAAACTTTATGCTAAACCAAAAATACTAAACGAACACAATACTAAACTAACAATATTTGTGAGTAATGTATTGTAATATCTCTTAGATTCAATTAAAAAAAGTACAAAACAGAAACCTCTACAGAACATGAATCTGGTGGGGAGGTGTGTACTCTATGAGATTGCCAAAAAAATATTATTGATGTGTAATTGAATGATTCATAAATTGTATTGAAGAATAATAACTTATATTGTTATTATATTGATAATAATAAATAATAATTGATTGATTAATGGGTTTCTCCCCATCTGCCATTCATTTGACAACCAGATAACAGTATTTATTTACTTATTTGCCCTTTTATTTGTTTATATATTTATTATTTTAATGAAACCGGTTCTAAATCAGAAGCAGTTCTCAATTCTCTATCCTAAATTTGTGGGTGCAGTGTCAAATTTTCAAGATCACAACTGAAATTGTCTGGTCAACAGATTCCTCAGAGTCCAAAAGAAAACTTCTTATCTTTTTTATCACATGATGTAGCGACACTTTTGAACTCCATTCAAGGCTTTGACTCTCAGGGGCTGTTACCTAGCAACACTATACATGTATGATGTAGTCGTAGTAACCCGTAGTGATGCTACATTGTAAATAGCTCATCTCTGCAGATAAAACTCTCTCTCTTTCTGTTTTCCCTGCTTCTGACAGCATTGTTAAGTGAAGAATGTGAGTTGTTTTATTTGAGATCAATGTGTGGTCATTATCTCTTCCCCCCTGTAGACGACACACTGGAAAGGGACGGTGTCTGTCTCCGCACGAAGCCTCGTTAATTTAATTAGCAGAGTTTTATCTAGACAAGAGACACAGCTTGAGCTTTGCACTCAGTCATGTCCCCTTGTTTTTACTTCCAGCCACAAGCATAGTAAAATTGGAATTGTTAAACACTTCTTATTATTTGCTCACAATCTTGTCATTCCAACCCAATATGGTGTTTTGTATGAGTCGTAAAATGTCACCAATATGTCACTCTAAAAATGTGTCCATGCTTGGACTGAAGGTTTTTGCCATTAAGCTACTGCCTTTGTGCTTATTTGGGACATTTCCACTCGTCTGTTTTGTTTCACAGTCTCCCGCAGTAAGAGGCAGAAATGGAAGGATTGACTCCACAGGCCTCTGTTCTGCTTTCCCTCCCTGTTTGCAGTTGCTAGCTTTGATTTGTTAAAGCTCAGTCTCGCGCCTCCGCCTGTGCTCTGCGGAGCCAATATGGCTGCCGTGCTGTTGAGCCATAATGGCTGTCTCAGCGGGGGTTTCCCTCCACATCCTCTCTGGTCTGTGAGAGATAACGCAGCCTGCTGATTACTGCACCACTGCTCAGATCTCTCATTATAAAGCCTGCGAGATTTAATTTGAACATGGGGTTGTTTCTCAAAACACCACCTATATGTGCCGTCGGTGGCAGGAGTAGTTTTTAGGAGATTCTTTCATTAGTTCATAACACCCCTGTGTGCATCAGATTAAATAAAGTTTTATTTTAAGATGCCTGTAAACAGAAAGTGAGAGAGTGCTTCACAGCTGCTGTGTGAAACCGGTAAAGAACTGAAGTTTTTTAGTGGTGCTTGCTAAGGAAAGGAATGATACCGCGAAAAAAATTTTTTAGGGTTGATGATACAACTGCAACATTATAACATCATACATATATATATATATATATATATATGTGTGTGTGTGTATATATATATATATATATATATATATATATATATATATATATATATATACATATACATATAGACTATGTATGTCTGCAGTGGTCCTCTATGGTTTGTTAGTGAGACCACATGACTTTAATTTGGCAAACAAAAATGTTTTAATATTAAAACAGTTTTGTCTGTTGGACCGCATGACTTTGTCGATCGCAACACGAGTTTGACATTGCTAAAGGTGCTCTAAGCGATGTCATGTGTTTTTTAGGCCAAAACATTTTTTGTCACATACAACAAACATCTCCTCACTATCCGCTGGCTGCCTGTCCCCTGAACACACTGTAAAGAAACGCGATCTCTGTAGACAGCCCATGCTTCACAAACAGCACCAAAAACAAACTGCAGCGACCCGCTCCCCAAAACATAACAAACTGTTCCAGCCAATGACCGACAAGAAGGGTTTGGGGGTGTGGTTTGGGGGGTTAGTGTGCGGATGAGGAGGAGGGAGGGTCTAGCTAGCCTCCGTTTTGTTTGACAATAGTTCGAACGTCAACAAGAAGTGACGTCACCCAGGATCGCTTAGAGAACCTTTAAATATACATAAGAAGAAATAAAACACTTTTGTCTGCAAAATCAAAACCTCTCTATGATAAGTTAGTTGAATTTGTTGGTCACACCACATGACTGATTTTGCAGACAAAACATGTTTTATTAATTAAAACACTTGTCGGTTTGGATCAAGTGACTTTGTTGGTCTCACCACACGACTTTGTGCAATATATTTATATTATTTATATTATAAGAAAGAAAGAATAATAAAACACTTTCGCAAAATCAAAGCCTCTCTATATCTTAGACCACGTGACTTTGATTTTGCAACCAACAGACAAAAGTGTGTTATTTTTTTTTTATATACATTTATAAGAAATAAATAAAACAAGAAATAAATTGTGGTGCGACCAACAAAGTCATGTGGTCCAACAGACAAGTGTTTTAACTTACCATAGAGGCTTTGATTTGCCGACAGACATGTTTTATTCCCTCTAAAATATTTAGGTAATTAATAATAAAACACGTTTGTCTGCAAAGTCATGTGGTATGACCAACACATCAAGAAGTCCAACAGTCAAAAGTGTTTTAATATTAAAAACAAAATCAAAGTCATGTGGCGTGACCAAAAAAGTCTTGTGGTCTTACTAACTCATCATAGAGATGGCTCCTGCAGACCCTCATGACTGTGTTAAGGTCAACATGTCTCTTAAAATATCAGAGTGTTTGGTATTTTCATGACAAGGCAAGGTTAATTCATGTTGTAAAATGTCATGTGGTGCAAGTTCTCAAAACGTTAATATTTATGAAATATAAATATAAACAACTTTTCTTTTTTAAATAATGATTGAATGTGAAATATCTAGTTTTGTAATCATAATCTGATACTCTAGCCATGACGAATGAAGATGAGGGTTTAGGATTTCGTGAAAGAGTATGTGGGTGGTAAACGTACACTCTCATATTGATGGAGGGGCCTCTAAATCAGTGTGGCCCAACTCTGAAATCAAAATCAGCACCTATCCCATTCTCTCTTTAATCAAGGGAAAAGGCAGACCTCCCAAATTACACCGCCAATCAGGTCATGGGGTTTTAGAGCGTGTGTGTGTGTGGAGGTCTGACTTTCCATGTAATCAGTGTCTGTGCAGGCCAGCGACATCTTAGTGTGTAGCACTCATTAGTGCTGACTTCTCCCATCAGATCAGCATCATCACAACATGCTCTTAAATCACTGCTGTTGTTCCCTATAATAGGCTTGATGGCAGGCTGGTTTACTCAGGGGGAAATAAAACATTATTTTGGAACTTTACAAGTGTGTGAGTCGGCCCTTCAGCTTCCTACAGTAATTGCCATAGTGTAATAGTACCATGCAGTGACCAAAGTAACATTTGTCAAGCACAAAATGTGAAAATCTTTCCTTAGCAAGTAAATAAAACCATTAGTTGGTAACTATTTTTGAACTATTGGACATTTAATTTAATTATATTTTAGTTGGATTTCTTATTTTAGTTGAATATTATATCACACATACATAAAATGTATGGTATGCAAATTGCTTATCTACCAGCCATTGGGAGGTTTGACAGGAAGCTGATTTTGGACTCTAGTACCACATTTCTTATAGCCACAATGGCTTCTACTTGACATGCAGTCCATCAGAAGCTATACAGTAGCTTCACTAAAAGCCTAAGATATAATTATTGATCCTCATGGTTGTTGTCTTTCATTTGTATTGATTGTGTGTGTGCGAGACAGTGAATGTGAGATGAACCTGTCTCGCTGTGATTGAGAGCTCTCTTTATGGATGTAGCTTGAGCAAGTTTTTGTTGTCACATCCTCAAATTCAGTCGTCCATCTGACATTCGGCCCATTTTCTTTGAAATGTCAGTTATCTTTTCGAATCGCCAACCTGAACGCTTTATCAAGGTCCATTCCAGGTTGTAAGGACATTCATTTTTACCCACCTACTCTTGACACACTTCACTAAGATCCTCATAAGTTTTTAGATTGCCATCATCTGTTAGTGTGATGACCTTTTCATCTTTGTTGACACTTTTTCTTTGATTTCCTTCCTTCTTTGAAATCTAAAAGCCAGCAGAACTCTTTGTGCTGCACACCAGACAACAAAAAAAAATGCTTAAAATTATATTTCAATCAATTTTTCTGTCCTTCTGTTGTACTGGAAGCACAGAAAGGTGGAGACTCAGTTGGGTTGGACCTGCTGCTGTTTTGAACATTTGTGTTATTAGGAGCTTTTTATGTCTATAAATGTTCCCCTTCATCTATTCATACTGCGGAGACAGCAAAAGGATTAGGAATAGACATGCAGGCATAGATTTTGATTCTGAAAAGCAAACTGATTTTCTGTAAATTATTTCATTTTGACACATATTTTCACTCTCTCTCTCTTCCTCAGAGTGGCCAGTTCTACAAGGTGTCAAATGAGAACTATCACAAGGCAGCAGACGAGGTCAACGCCAAGTTCAAGTGAGTTCAGAATTACACACTATGGCGTTCATCAGCTTAAAGTCCAACATTAATACAGCTTATATCCTGCCTTTTCAGACACAATACATTGTGCAAGTATGATGCATGTATGCGAATGTGAGCGCAAACTGATGCTGGGTAGCTCCTTGGCTGCATTACATATTTCACAATGAGCATTTGTTCAAGCATCTCTGTCAGTTCCCATTTACACAAGGCTGTATGTAGTGAGGTATGGTATAGGTTTCATGTAATAAATGAGCATTCTAACGTTATTTACTCGCCCTCATATTTTTTTTAACATCTTTGTTTAGAGAATGTCCAAGCTGCTCACTTCCATACAACGAAAGCCAATGAAGACCAGGGGCCCCATTATAAAAGTAGCCCATATGAATCATGCGCTATATTTTTCTGAAACCATGCGAAAGCCTTGTTTAAGGAACAGAGGAAAATTGATGTCAAACAAGATTTTCAGTTAATAACACCTTCAGTTACTTCCATTATATGAAGAATATCTTGCTATAAAATTACTCCTTTTGTGTTCTACGGTAGAAGGAAAGTCCTACGGGTGTAAAAAGAAACGCATGAGGGTGAGTAAATGATGAACAGAATTTGGTCAAACTATCCCTTTGAATCTACAAAAAAACAGATGCGATCATTCTTCACTACTTCATCCGGAAACACACTAAAGATGTTTCCATCATCTATTCTGACAAACTTCCATAAAGTCTTGTCATGAATGTGAAATCTTGACCATTAGGCTACTGTAGCTGGAAACATGTAACTGAAGAGCCCTACAATTATAGGACATTTTGGCTCCATATGTCTTAATGTGGCCTATTAGCCCCAATAGTAATGCATGTTGGTAAAGGGGAAGTGAATGAAGGCCAGCCTGTTTCAGGACTAGCCTGCGCTCACAAATCGCATTAGGCTGTCATTATCCCTCTTCCTCAGTGCCAACACAGGGATCATCGTCTCTTTAGAAATGTCAGAAATTGATTTGTGGTGTCCAGTGGGGCAGGATCGGAGTTGGGAGGGGGGAGGTTGCACGGCTAATGCTAAATTGCATTAAGAAATGCATTAAAATAGCATTAGCCTGACATGGTTCTTCGCACAGGCCTGGACTGGGGTGTCATGTGACCAGCGGGGCCACAGTGGATGCTGTGATTGGCTGATTGCATTAGAGAGGTGCATTAGCAGCGCTGTGATTGGATTACGGAGTGGAGGGAAAAGCGTGTGTGAGAGGGCTTTTTTGTATATAATGAAATGTCTTCAAGGTCTGATGTTTCACGAGGAAAGACGCAGCTTTACTGACTGCGAGAATAATGAGGTTTAACTGCATGTGCGTGAGAAAGAAGAAAAGAAACATAAAAGTCTCTGTATTATATGAATGATGGGCCACAGGTGTGTGTGTGTATGTGTGTGAGTGTGTTTAGGTTGTACATTTAGAAACAAGTCTGTGTTGCTTTTCCCAAATGGATATTCCAACCATATCTCCCCTCTAAAGGGAAAACGGGCGATAAGATCCTATCAGGAATTGGGTTGAGTAAAAAGAATTAAGTATATTTTGTCTGAGCCTTTTGATTTCCTGAAAGTTGAAACTGCCCTGGAGATGGAGGTCCAAATCTGCATAATTGATGGAATTAACATGAGTTTGATATGATAATCTTTTTCTTGAAGTTGTAAATGATCGTCTCTTCGACGTCTTCATTCTCTCAGTAGCGGAAAGCTTTGGATGTGCTTGTGGGTTTGACTTCTGGAAAAATCAGTCTGAGGTCAAATGGTCTAATTGCTTTGGGATGTTTGTACATCTGTAAAATAAAATGCCTATTTGATTTAACATGATTTATTTTACCTTGTTTACCTTATTCCGTGAATAACCAAGGGGTGTTGTAATGTTTTTTGCAATGCCTTTACATTTGTATAATAACATCCATTTGATTTACACGATTTACCTGTTCCTTGATCAACACCCTTTGTTGTAGGGTTAGGCCTATCCTTATTGGTGACTTCCTGAGACATGAGCGTCAGCAGCCGTTGATGACCGATTGTGTCTAGCAACATGGCAAGTTGAGAAATGTTCTGTTTATGCAAGTGTGTGGAGTGACTAGATAAACAGCATAAACAATGGAGAAGTTTAAAAAAAATCCTATATATTTCTATGACCATTTATAGGGACAATATAATATGATGCGTCAAAAACATCTGTGATTGTTCACTTTTGATATTATATATTTATATTAAAACATGTTGATCAGAGGATGCTGAAGAATGCGTGCACAAATGCGGGCATTCAATGCTTGTCTGCTCACACACACATATGAAACGGCCCTTCCACACACTTATGCACACACACAGCCTGTTGAGCTACGTGGCCGTGGATGCTGGTTGAATTACAGATAAATGCTTGACTGGAAGAATGGGATGTTGTCTTCAGCCACCTGTCAGAGCTGACCTTTGCCTCATCCCTGTGATGCTGTGTTTAAGCATGCACTCTGTGTGTTTGTCTTGTGTCCCCAGGGTGTTACCGAACTCTGTCACATCGAAGCAGTTTCACAGTGTTGACCTCTCCCTATGTTCTGCTATCTTCTGTTCTCTGAATGGGTTTAAATGTCTCTGCTCACCCAGTTTAGTCGCCCATTAACGTGTCCTGTTAAGGTCAAAGTGCACTTGTTGGAATTAGTGTTCCAATGCACTACACCACATTTTCACATCACTATCAGTCTGCTTTTCATGAATAGTTAAACTAAAGCCATTTCTCAATGTGTGTTCTTAAAGGATTAGTTCACTTTAAAAAAAAAAACGTTTGCTGATCATTTACTCACCCCCATGTCATCCAAGATGTCCATGTCTTTCTTTCTTCAGTCGAAAAGAAATGAAGGTTTTTGATGAAAACATTCCAGGATTTTTCTCCATATAATGGACTTCAATGGGCACCAAACGGTTCAAGGTCCAAATGACCGTTTCAGTGCAGCTTCAAAGGGCTTTAAACGATACCAGACGATGAATAAGGGTCTTATCTAGCGAAAAGATCTGTCATTTCAAAAATAAATAAAAAAAGTTAAAGTTTTATAGGCGCAAATGCTCACCTTGCTCTGTTCTGTGATGCGCGTTCGTGACTCTCCTGTTCGAACTCGTTCATCAAAATGAACGAATCTTTTTTCGAGTCATTTCGTTCATTCAACGAACGAAATGACTCGAAAAAAAGATTCATGTCATCTTGGATGACATGGGGGTAAGTTAATTATCAGCAAAAGTTTTTTAAAAAGTGAACTACTCCTTTAAGTGATCTTGCGTCCTTGTGTTCTCATACTACGTCATCATCAACCGTCGAAGTTCAATTCCAGTGCTCAAGAACACAAGTACAGAGGATGCATGAAAGTACCCGGATGTGTTCTTCATTCATTTTTTTTTCTTTCATTTTTACATTTTCTAAAAATAATTATTCTGATATTATAATAGTTTTTATTCATAAATAAAAAAATCGTAAAATCAATTGTTTTGAATGTTATAAGTGAATTTTTCTATTTCATAATAAATTGTAATTATTATTATTAAATGTTAAATTATAATTTATGTATATCATATACATTGTTTTCCAAAAATTACATTTGATGGCATTATTAAATTATTTATAGAACTTTCAGTGATTGTTAAAAGACAGCAATGGAATCTTAATTGAAAAATAGGAAATGAGCATTGAAGTTCTAATATCAGTTGATATCCAATACAGTACCAATATATCTTGGATCCCTAGCACCTTCATTTGCATAAAGAGGTTATTTCTGAGACTGTGTTGGTATTTCTCCCGTCGTCTTGGAAAAGCCCCACAATACACAGCGAGATCTCAGACTATAATAGTCTGCTCTTTAGAAGAAATAACTCCTCTTAAAAGGCCATGAAGTTTGACTGCCTATTGAAGCACAGCTTGACCTGTCTCAGAGAACACAATTATAGCTATTACAACGAAATATAAGTGAACGGCAGTAGATCAGCCATAATATTTAAGCTAAGTATTCTGTTTTAAAAGAGGTCAGTTGACGGCTGAACAGCAGAGAATATCAATGCGGAGTAAATGGCCTTCTCACTCAACAAGAGGAGCTCCACACACAGTTATGACTGGTGCCGTCACAGGTTATCAAACCCTCATCATCTCGAAAGTGTGTCTCCAGACTGCAGACGGACCACTCTTAGCTCTGTTACATCTTTACCTATAAATCATTCCTGCTACTCCTTCATAGTTGTGTTTCTTGCCTTTCTCACCCTGGTATCTGACCTCTGCTCATCTTCTCCATCGAAAACCCTTCCCCCCACCCCAATTCTCCTCTTTCTTTCCGGCCCGACAGGTAATGGGACGATGCGAGTTCGTTTCGGAGCCCGTGGCGTCTCCCCTTCCCTTTCGCAACTGATGGATCATGTTTTAAAACGACGAAAATGAGTGCTTATCATTTTTCTTCGTAACTGCTTCATTTGTTTTGATTTCTGTCTGCCTGTCACACACGCCGTCAGCTCCTAAATGAACATACATGTGTTTTTTTCAGAAGTGGACGCTTAACCTCTTCACCCCGCTAGACTGCGAGTGCTCATAATGATGACGGATAGTCACATGTCTGTTAAGAGACAGACGTCTCAGTTCATCCGAGCCGACTGTAAAACACTGGACTTAAATACGCAGCGCCGGTGGACCGATATTTCATTAGTCTTGATTTGAGAGAATTAAGACTGCTTGAGAAATGTGTGCTGGTATTTTAACAAGCTGAATGCAGTAGGAAGGGCGTCTTTGTGCCTTTCGTCTGCCGTTTCTCCCTGCGCTACTGTGCCCGAATGTTATTTTGCCTAGTAAATCCCCTACAGACCAGCACACCTATAGGAAGTCCTTCATGTGCTAGTGTAGGTTAAAAGGAAGGTTGCAGAACCATGGGATAATTTGGAGCACAGTCTCTTTCTGTCCTTTCTCCTCTTTTCCCTGTCTTTCATTCAGAAGCTCTCTCTTTCTCGCTCCTCCTGTGATAAAGCATCTCATATCTGTGTGTCTCTCTCAGCCCTCGGTGTCACAGTCGTCCGAGCGCCTGCTCGCTGTGATTTATGACCCACATCTACTTTTTTCTTCCAAAAACCATTTCAGCTGGATGGAGGGATTTACACGCGGACATAAATAAATATATACACGCCTATGATATCATAGAGCTGTCCTGCTTTTTGACGCCCGATCTGTGCATAGTGAGGGAGAGAATGGGAGATAGAAATAGAGATGGTGAAGGTGGCATTCAGCTGTGTTGATGTGTGGATGTTTTACCCATAATGCCATTGGCATTAGGCTTAAACCTCAGATGACGTGTTTGAACGGCAAAGCTCCCCCCCCCCACAAATACAAATATTTTTGTATTTGATCAAAAATACAGTAGAAACAGTAATATTGTGAAGTCTTCAGAAATCATTCTAATATGCTGATTTGGTCCTTATATTTTGGTGAAATATGTCTTATTATCAATGTTGAAAACAGTTGTGCTGCCTGATATTTTTGTGGAAACCATGATATTGTACTTTTTTTCAGCATGATTTGATGAATAGAAATGTCAAAAGAACAACAATTTTTTTTTATATAATTTTTTTGATAACATTATAAATGATAAAATCTTCACTGTCTCATTTGCTAAATGTTTTCCTTTTTTTTTTTATCACACTGACCCCAAACTTATAAACGGTAGTGTATGCTAATATTTAATTTATACTTATATAATTCATAAATATTATACATTTAATTTGAAGGTTTTTAGGCTAATATTGTTCACAACCCTTAAACTATAAAAAGAGGAGTTGGTGACTCTTTGGACTTTCTCAAGTAGAAATGAACCAGAGGAGACTATCATACGTATTTTTATTTTTTTTATAACACGGTGGTATGTCCCAGTACTGCCATACGGTTTTATTTCATACTTATAATTATACTTTTCCATCACCAGTAAAGTACCATAAGCACATAGTAGAGGTATGTTTTTGCCTTTTTTTTTGTCATTTTTGTCTAGAAAGGGGGTGATGTGTGATAGACAGCAGCTGAGTGTATTTGAGTGGACGGATTGAGGAAAGGACAGAGAGATAGAGCAAAAGCGAAGGATAAGAAAAGAGAACGGGTGAATCCCCAGTCCTTCCGGGACCCAAAGAGTTGGGGTGGTGACTGACAGCGGGCGTCCATTCACTCCTTCATTCATCTGCCCTTCAGAGCAGCTAATATGAATGACGGCGCGGATTAAACCGCGTCTGATCTAAAAAGAGCTTCTCCTTGAATAGAGCAGGATAACATCTCCCTCCCGCCCAATCCTTGCTTTGCCTTTTGCTGTCCCAAAGGTCACCCCTGTCAAATGAAGAGTTTTGTGTGTGTGTTCTAATCCTCCGGGGACAGAGGTGATGTTTCGTTTTTGGACACGTTGGGCCTCAGATTTCATGGGAATTGGGTGGTCTTCGTCAATGTGCCTAGTGTGACCCGCTCTATCCTCTGTATCTTCTCCTAAGAACGATATTTGGTTGGAAATGTGCTGTTTTTTTGTGACCTTGAGTGATAGACAAGTTGTTGATAGCAATCTGCAACGTTTTGTAAAATCCAGCGTGACACTCAATGCTGTCTGGGTCAAACTTTGGATATTCTGGGGTGTTTTGGAAATACATTTTGAAAAAGCGCTCTTGAGTTGAGTGCACAGGTTGCTTGCTAAATATCACCATGGTAGTTTCTGCCAAAATATAATTGCAGTTGCATAGAGATATTGTTACTAAATTAAAATGTGGATATCTCTATCATTGAGGGAAAAGGAAATAAAAAAAGACTGACGTTTTCTTACAAGTTTTATGGTTGATTTATTTATATGAATAAATAAACAAGTAACAGTAAGCATATAATAACTGTTTGTTGGAATCCAATTTGGTTAATCTTACTTGTCATGTTTGTGGAAGATACACAACCGGTCAAAAATGTTTGTCATGTTTTTGTATCACGATTTCCACAAAATATTAAGCAGCAAAAAACAGGTTTCAGCATTGCTCAAATGTTTTCCGAGCAGCAGATCAGCATATTAGAATGATTTCTGAAGGATCATGTGACACTAAAGACTGGAGTAATGATGCTGAAAATTCAGCTTTGCATTTAGTTTTATTTTCTCAAAATGTAGATTGATATTGCATTCTAATTTTAGACAATATATCATTTATTTGCCAAAATGTCCATATCAGTGCAGACTGTTGGGCTCAGACACATGGGACAGCTGGAGGGGTTTAGATGCAGGTGTGTTTGTCAGTGAGGGAGAATCTACACATCGGAGACATAAGCTGCACTGAATAATAATGCTTTCTATTGTCTGGACTGGTGGGTGTTTGTGTGGCTTCACTTAGCTTTGCTCAAGAGGTAAAACTGTCACCAGAAGTTAACTAAATCTGACAATTAGGAAGGTCGTCAAAAGTCAAAAATGTTTATTAAGGGTGTGGGTTTATAAATATAAACCCATAGTATAGTGTGTTAATTTAGGTTAAATGTGTGTGGTTCAGGATGTCTATGGCCTCTACAGCTGATGTACGTCTTGAAGCAGCACCTTGTGAGACCTCCTGCACTGGGATTTAACATGCAATTATCCTGCAAACTAATTCTGCACAAATCAATTCTGCTATTGATTAGTGATTGATCTGATGTTTACTTGTGAAAACACTGCAAGAACATCATTTAACAGCTCTTTGTCACTGCTACAGGATCAGTTTATTAAAAATGGAAAATGTAACTATGATGAATGACCACATTCATTTGCTAAATTTGTCTGTCCTCTGACCGTTTCTCTCTCTCTCTCTCTCTCTCTCTCTTTTACCTTTTGGTTCTCTCTGTCTCTCGCTCTCACAGGCGATATGAAATTAGTCCAGTGTGCACTGACCTTCAGGGGCAGATTCTGAAATGCTACAGAGAAAATGCTGGAAAAACTCTGCTGTGCTCCAACATCGCCTCTCAATACCTACAGTGTGTCAACAATGCTAAACAGGTGAATATGTGAGTGTGTGTTTGTGTATGCCTGATATTTTCACCACTGGATGGTCTTAGTTTAGTTGAATCAGATCCAAAATATCCTTAACATGATGTTTGTTCCGTTTTATTTTTGCTAATTTTGTTTTAACCCAAGTTTAAAAACTGTTGAAATGTTACATTTCACCGAATTTTACTATTTTTAACTGTCAAATCGATTAATCGCGATTAATTGCATCTAACATAAATGTTTGTTTCCATCTAACATAAAAAATATATATATACACATAGAATGGTTTTTATTTTTCATAACTTGTTTAATATTTTTTATTTATATGGTAAATGCGTGTACAGTTTGAGATCTTTATTCCAGGGCACATGAGATGTAAAATGTTAATGTTTTAATATAAATGTAAAATAGTTTGTAGAAGAATCACTCATGCAAGTCAAAAACTTTTTGCCACATTTGCCCGTAGTGCTAATGGTGTGAATTGAGACACATTCTAGTGTGTGTGTGTATCTTCTGTTTTGTGCATTCTACCAGTTCCCAGCAACCCCAGCGTAGGAATTAGCATCTACAGCTGCTCTTTAGCCTCCAGCATTAAGATCCAGTGAAACAGCCTTGCCATCCTCTCCAAGCTCTGTAATAACACACTCTCTGCCTGACCCACACCTCCATTTGCAAATCGAAACTTCTGCCTAGCGTTCTCTTCACTTTCTGCTTGGCTACAGGCGCCACTAAGTTCACTCTAAATTGTAGGCTCAGACGAAAGAGTCATTTCCATAATACCAGCTGACAGCTGCTGTTCTTGGTGCAGACCTAAGTGTGTGTTAAATGAAGTAAGTGGGAACGGGGACAAGTCATTTAAATAGCACCGTCCCACAATCCCCCACCGCCGCAACATCCCCGGTCCCGATTCGGCAATGCATGGATGGCAATGGGCAGAATTGGACCGACCCTCTCTGAAAATCTCCTCCGCACACTCCAGCAATTCCATGCAAACACAATTTATATTCAGATGGGTCTTTCCATTAGATTTTTACAACGGCACAGTTTTTGGGTAGCGAGAGCAAAAGACTGTTGCCCTCTTGGGTATTAGTTTAATGCAGCACTGTGAATTCTGCAGCACTTAAGCAATACATCATGTAAATAAAGAGATGTTTTATTCATAGTTGTGTATGCGCCGAATTTACCCTGTAACTTCTTTAGCATCTCTAATGTTTTTGTGTTTGCGTATATGCATGTTCGTGTGCTCAGGCCTGTTCTCAGTATTGTTGTCTGGTAAATTGAATATGGGGTATGAGGTATTTGATGATTTTATTGACTCCGCTATGAGGAACAGAGCTTACCTGTGTAATAAGCATTTATTAGTCACACAGGAACACCAAAAAATAACAGCCAGATAACAAAATAGCTAAACAGCTTATGTGCTGTGTGTGTGTTAGAAAGAGAAATGGAGTCCTATTCCTGTGCAGCCATGAAAAAAGTGTGTGAACTTGGAATTTTGTTTTGTTTTATACCAGACCTGCAGTGAAATGTCTTTTGACAAACCATATTTGTACTGTATATAAGCAAAGTATCAATGTGATTTAAGAGATTTTAATTGAGAAAATGAATGAATTTGTGTCTGTTCGTCGCACAACACTCATAAAGACTTTTTGTTTGCTGTTTTGTTTGCACATATACTACGCAATGGAAATAAGCTGTGTCTTTATATCGGTATAGTCTTTTATCTTTACGTTCAATGCAAACTTCAAACTCATAACTCTGATAAAATATCATTTTTATCCATGGTCCTGTAGATTCAGCAGTGCAGGAAACAGTGCTGTATCATGTCTGTTCTTCTTGAAAACCAGGACAGTTAAATTGGATGTCAAGTATAGTGATCTAAATACCAATGTTTAGCATACAGGTGAAACTCGAAAAATTAGAATATCGTGCACAAGTTAATTTATTTCAGTAATTCCAACTTAAAAGGTGAAACTAATATATTATATAGACTCATTACATGCAAAGTGAGATATTTCAAACCTTTATTTGTTATAATTTTGATGATTGTGGCTTACAGCTATGAGAACCTTTTTCTAATTTTGAATTTGGGGTTTTCATAAGCTGTAAGCCATAATCATCACAATTATAACAAATAAAGGTTTGAAATATCTCACTTTGCATGCAATGAGTCTATATAATATATTAGTTGCACCTTTTAAGTTGAATTACTGAAATAAATTAACTTTTGCACAATATTCAAATTTTTTGAGTTTCACCTGTATGTTATATCATGTTTATTTTAGTAAAGTACATACAAATTGCACATTGAAATGTAGTAATACTGTATCATCATTAGCTGCCTAGCCTGAACAAAATATGCAAGTTGAAGCCATATTTAATGTATTTATCTGTAATATTTTACCTTGCATAGTTTTGTTCATGATTCGTGAGGATGTGGGCATGTCAGGCACCCTTTCCATGTTGGCATCGGTTTAATTCAACTAAATCTTTTACCAATGAACAATTGAATTTGGACCAAAATACCCTTTTACCTGCAGAACTGCCATGTATTGTGTTCTCCTTGAATCCCTGGCTCTTTTTTTTTTTTGTAGATCACAAAGTCTGATTTGTTGGCCAGTCCTTGCTTGTCTGTCTGGATCTGGAAGTCCCTCAGGATCTTATCCTTGTCGTTTTCAGAGAACACGGACATGATAAGCACTGTATATTTGTATAAATAACTCTTATTGAAAGCGTCTAGATAGATTGGCTCTATAATCAGTGGTCACCATAGCTAAAGAGGAATGAATTCCCCTGATACAGCCTGACTAGCAGAGGGTAACGACAGTGATCGGTCATGGCTGTGGCTTTGTGAACGTAATTACTCCATGGTTTATCTTTCCTGGACTGATAATATTTTGGCTGTGAACTTCTCCTTCTTCTATCACTTTGTAAAGCAGTGACTGCGGTACAACCCCGAGCCGATAGTGCCCTGAGTCCAGAGATAAAGCACACGCCCTCTTCCTCTCTAAGCACCATGAATACTACTTTATCAACGGCGATCTCTCATTCGCGCTTTCTTATTCTTAACGCGTGGTCAAACACTTCTCAGCCTCCCTCTCTCTCTCTCTTCTCTCAACTGTCGTCCACTCTTTCAGAAAAAGTACGGAAGAGTTTGAGACCGCAGCATCTGTTTGTGCCAAGACGTATTTTCACTGGCTTAAACTTGTGTCCTTCAGAGGTTTGGGACAAATACCACCACCTGTTTGAGTGTTTTTTCCCTCTACTCTAGAACTTTCCACATATTTTAGCATTATGATCCTGAGCTCACACAATCAGTGAGTGCCAGAGAGATACTTTGAGGTGCCTTAAAGGGATTTATTCTCCCTCATATTGTTGCAAGCCATATGGTTCACAAAAAGAGATGTTTACTCTGGTCTTTTTCATATATTAAAAGTGAATGGTGACCAAGGGCTGTTTTCAATTGTGTTTTTTTTTTTAATAGCTTTAGTTTTAGTTAACAATAATAACACTGATATGTGTATATATGTCCATGACACCAAACCTGCTATGACACTTCTTGACATGCCACATTTTATATATGCAAATTGTAAACATGAATAAGATTTAAGAGATTGTCAATGCAAAATCTTTGATATAACAAAATCGATCATATGACTTCAGAAGACTTGGCATATACAGTAGTCATATGGACTATTTTTATAGTATGTTATGTACTTAAGTACTTTTATGATGCGTCCCCAATATCCCGTTTCACTCGGATACATGTCAGATTACATAAAATGGGTTGCAATTGCAATTAAAGGAGAACTCCGGCGCAAAATGAACCTTTGGTCTAATTACACATTGTTACCTAGTCAACCGTTATCTGAGATTTGTTTTCATGATAATCGAATGTAAATAGTTTTATCTCTAAAAACAGTTTAGCCTATAAAGCTAGTATAACGCTAGTATATTGGGCATAGATCAATGACAAATAAAAATCGCTTGTTAATACCACTAACAAGGCTCAAAATAGCCCCACACTAACACGGTAGCATAATGAGGGTCCCTACCTTCAAACCGAAGCATTGAGAACTTTGTCAGTGTCCAGACAGTTTAATAAGAAGATATTTAATACATACAGTCAACTTCGCGTATACAGACAGGAGCCATCTTTGAAATACAGCCTTTACCAGTCGATCTACGAACGCCGATCCAAGCCTGCTGTTCGCGCTCACCTTATCACAACTTATAGCTCGTTCACATCTCACCAGCGCACTTGGATCGGCGTTCGTAGATCGACTGGTAAAGGCTGTATTTCAAAGATGGCTCCTGCCTGTATACGCGAAGTTGACTGTATGTATTAAATATCTTCTCATTAAACTGTCTGGACACTGACAAAGTTCTCAATGCTTCGGTTTGAAGGTAGGGACCCTCATTATGCTACCGTGTTAGTGTGGGGCTATTTTGAGCCTTGTTAGTGGTATTAACAAGCGATTTTTATTTGTCATTGATCTATGCCCAATATACTAGCGTTATACTAGCTTTATAGGATAAACTGTTTTTAGAGATAAAACTATTTACATTCGATAATCATGAAAACAAATCTCAGATAATGGTTGACTAGGTAACAATGTGTAATTAGACCAAAGGTTCATTTTGCGCCGGAGTTCTCCTTTAATGTGGTTCAAATGAGGACGAATCGGTTTTGTTTTCTCTCTAAACCTCTCCACTATTCCTTCTTCCTTTTTTTTATAGTCATGACGCCCATCTATCTTCTCCACCTCACCTTTTTTTCCCTCCATACTCTCTCCTCTCACTCGAGGGATTCTTATTTCCTGTTATCGGGTGCAGTAGCCTGTGAGAGATGTGTATTGATGGGAAGAAAGAGCCACATGTTTACGTTTGGTTGTGTTGGGGCTTTTTGCTTCCACCGTGGCTTGCCTCGTGGTTCATCTCTCAAGAATATGCACACATGCACTCATATTCACTCCCTTTTTCTCCTCTAACTCTCTTTTTCTCTTTGCGTATTTGCATGCAGATGCCTTGGAAACGTGCCACTGCATCTACCGCTTTTTTTCCTAACAAGAATTCCGTCTTTTTATCTTTGTCTAGGACAAGTTGAGGACTGGAGGTTAAGTCTCTGTGCAGGAAGAGAGGAAGACCTGTTTGTATCTGTGATCCCACCGTTTATCGACTGTTGCCAAGGAAAGAAACCACCCGGAGACACACCTGAGCAGAGCTGAACCAGAATCGGCAGTGAATTGAGAGATAGATAGACACCCTTAAACCTTCCTTCCTTTCCTGTACCTTTCCCCTCATCACTTTTACCTTCCTCCCACCTTCCTGTTATTTCTCTTTAATCCAGTAAGGAGAAATCACATTCTGAAAGGGACAGAATCAGTAAGCAGCGCCGATCGTAGGTGGAACTCAAACGTTCTGAGCACCTGAACCAAACACGTTTTTGGTTCAAAAAGGAAAGCATTCATTGAAAAGAACCGAACTAGACACCAAATATTGGCCTCACTAGGCCAGTCTAGACCCGACCGCAACAAAATCGCAGAACTCTGAAATCGGAGTTGGTTCTAGATTTGGTCCGTCTGGCCGGTTAGCGTTTATTTATTCAGCCGCCATACCTGTGATCCACCTTTCTAATCCACCACAATCCTCCATCACACTCCCCATTGCACTAGTCACATCTTCCAGCTGTTCACTGTGTTTTTGCGTGTGATGTTCATTATCTATTTTTTTGTCTTGTCGTTCACACGAGGGTCAGGTCGAGCCCCTGATCTGCTTTAAAAAGAATAAACAAATCAAACCCTAAACCACTTCTGACTGCGTCCTATTATTGTCTTAATAGGAGGGCATGATAAAACAAATGTATCAAATAAATTTCATGCACTGATTAAACAAATTAAACCTCTTCTCAATCAAATTTGAGGTTTTAACTTTTCAATCATGACTTGTTTACGCATTTTGTTTGAGCTTTTTTTTATTTACTGTTTTTCTGTTTTCTAACACATGCATCAGATCAGTCTTTGGCGGTTACATCGTCTTGCTATTTTTCAGTTCCTGTGTCATAAATGCAGCATTTAAAAAAAAAAAATTGATTCATTTTTTTATGCTTTGGTTAAATTGCATTACAAATAATCAGAATATCAGATCAGCCTTCAGCCATTACACCGTGTTTCTCTATTTTTCAGTTATTGTGCCATGTAAGTGCAGTGTTTTACATTCTTTTAAATGCTTTACACATTTTTAAATGCTTGTTATTATTTAAAAGTAGAAGTTTTTAGTATTCAGAAGTTACTCTCTTAATAAGTTAAATTGACTGCATTAGTTAAAGGGTAGTTCGCCCAAAAATGTGAACTCTGATCAGCGTTTCTTTGATCAGTGAATGTTTCTATATTCTTTGATCAGCGAACATAAACAGTTGTGTAGAACTGTACTTGTACGTGAGAATAAACCTCATTGGATCTTGCGGAAGCTCAAACGCGCTGCGTAACCATAGACAGTAACACACGAGAATGAACCTCATTGGTTGAGCTCGAGCTTCCGTTTACCACAACTGATGTTATATGACCACATCATATAAAGGGATCGTGTCTCTTCGGAAAATTTGGGCTGAACCGCTTTGTTTATGGATACGTTTTACGATCTCTTCATGAACTTTTTAAAGTGTCAAAATGGTAGTTGTGTGGACTGTCAATGGAGGGACCGAAATCTCTCAGATTTCATTCAAATGTCTTCATTTGCGTTTCGAGGATGAACTGAAGTCTTGCGGGTTTGGAACGACATGAGGGTGAGTAACTGATGACAGAATTATTATTTTTGGGTGAACTAACCCTTTAAACTACAGTATTATGTTTCTTAGGCACTGATGGCATTCATAGTTGTAGATTAGGAATTTTCATGAAAAGCATATTTTGATACAGAAAATTAGAAGAAAAGCGAGAGAGAGCTAGACGCCGCAAAGAATGAGAGCATTTGAGAGTGAAAGCACGTTTCCATCCTAAAGCAAAGCGCCTCTCTCTCTTTTATATCTCTTTCCCCACCCTCATTCTCCTCACCATTTTAAATTTATCCGTCAGACTATGCAGTGTCGCTCCAGTAGTTCTGGAGAGCAGTGAAAATGCCTCTTCAGTTTCAGGCTAAAAATCCGCTTCACACACACATACACACATTTATAAAGTTGCCAGCCATGAGAACTCCTCTCCATGCCAGATGAACATTCTCTGTGCGCACTGGTGGTCTAAAAACATAAACATGCCATCTTCGCTGGAACTCTTTCTCTCTCTCTCTCTCATGCGCACACACAAGTCCCTAACATTTGACTCCAGACCCATTTATGAAGCTATTGAATGGTGGACTGACTAAATGAAGGCTGTTTTTTCAGGAGAGGCCAAGGCTGAATGGACATCAACACATGGAGAATCAAAATTTCTTGGCCGCGTTTTTGGTGTAGCATCTGTGATTGACTTAAATCCTCAGAGACCCTGTCAGTCAGGTAACTTTGCCTCTAGTTGAGACCCTCAATAGTCAACTTGAAAATGAACCTTATTTGCTTCAATACATTTTTGTGGTGTACGTTCATAAAAAAAAATTTAATCTGTGTCATTGTTTGTCAACATATAATACCTATCTCCCTTTTTCAGTATCTTCCTACATGTATCATTCTTCATATATGCCCTAAACGGATCCATGCCCTTTATTCCTGTCAGTCTTTTCTTGTCTACCTTTTTCCCCGTTGAGATCGTGCCCGCAAATGTTGGCTGTCTCTCGCGGCTCTTGGTTTTCTCCGTCATTGCCTCTCAGAAATCAGAGGTTAATCTTCATTCTGTAAAGATTATTCCTCTCAGGGCAGATCTCGCTCTCATCTCACAGCAGCTAGGGGAAATAGTCCCTAAGTCCTCTCTACTTTATCAGTGCTTTTCCTCTCTTTCTACTACTTTTCTCTGATAGCTTTGCAGATTGTTCCTGTTTGTGTGCTGTGTGAATGTTTCTGCCGGGTGTAATCGAAGAGAGTTTCTCACAGAGGGATTATGGATTCTCTCACACTGTGTTTCTCAGGTACTCTAATCCTTGCCGAACTAACACTTGGCATTATAGGAACGACAACGGAACCGTCATTTTGGATTCCTTATTACACATTAAAGTATTAGTTTATCTAGAAAATGATTTTTTTTTGTCATAATTTACTCACTTTCATGTCGTTTCAAACCTGTAGGATTTTCTTTCATCTGTGGAAAGCAAAAGGAGATATTTTGAAGAATGTTCATGCTGCTCTTTTTCCTACAATGTTAGTTAATGGTGACCAAAAAAGGATAATAAAAGTATAATAGTCTATACAACTTGTGAAATTGTGGACAAACATATTGAAGGCCTCGTCCCTTTATAGAGACGAACTAAACAGAGCGTTACAGACAGACTGGGAATAAGAGAGGTGCTGCAACAATGTAAATATGTTTTTTAAAAATCAAGACTTTGTCAAAAAAAAATTCAAGACTTTGTCCTCTTTAAAAATGCTTTTAATACTTTTTATTTTTATTAGGTCAACATATGATGTTCTCCCATCACCGCAGAACCTAAACCTCTGGGTAGGAGAGGATCCCTCTTGTCATTTGTGTTCATCACCTGCCACATTAAGGCACATTTTGACTGGATGTAAGGTGGCTCTTAGCCAAGGTCGGTTTACTTGGCGCCATGACCAAGTATTGCGATGTTTGGCTTTAGCATTGGAAGGCAAGCGTAGTATGACCAATAAGTTGCCGCCTGTTCTAGCAAAACCTTACACGCAGAAGACAATATTCCTCCGCCCAGGCGAGCAACCACCAAGAGAAGGTGTTAACACCAATTCTCGCTCAGGACAACTGGAAGCTGCTAGGGACTGGAAGATGCTGGCTGATCTTGATCAACGGCTTATTTTTCCACCTGAGATTGCCACCACTAACCTACATCCAGATATAGTTTTGTGGTCTGGATCAGCACGCATTGTTCAACTGATAGAGTTAACAGTGCCATGGGAGGATGCGGTAGATGAGGCATATGAGAGGAAGAAACTGCGGTATGCTCATCTGGCCACTGAAGCAGAACAGCGAGGATGGAGAGTCCAGGTTTATCCAGTGGAAGTGGGTTGTCGAGGTTTTGTGGCACACTCTACAACCCGGTTCCTTAGAGACGTCGGATTCAGTGGCCAAGAGTTGCGTCGCACAGTAAAGAACTTATCTGAAGCAGCAGAAAGGAGCAGCAACTGGCTGTGGTTGAGACGGAAAGATTCTAGCTGGCTGTGTACAGGCCGCCACGCTACGGTTTCGTAGAATTCTTGAAAACTTGAAGAGTCTGTTGGTTTATTTGTATAGGTTGTATAGTATTTACAGTAATTACGTTCCTGTGTATATTGCGTGAATAACGAGTGGTTGGGCAGATATTGTGTTTTTGCGGTAGGTGGTATGCTATACGGAACCGTTGTCACTGAAACTGCATATTAACGCACCAGTGGGGCTCGACAGCCTTAGTCAAACGGGTTGGCGCGTATGGTTGGGTTGCGGAGAGATTGTGGTTAGGTCTCAGCAGCAGGAGGGATGTAGAGGTCAGTAAGCTGGGCTGAGTTGAGTGGGGGACGGAGGGGGGTGACTCTGGGACGCCAGAGTCACTGTCGAGCCCTCTTGAGGTGTCGTGGGCTAGTCGACGAAACAATGAGGACGGAAGGTGCCCACTTGAAGACTCTAGAGATGTCCCCTACTCGGCTCAATCCAGACGGTTGTCGTGCTGGTCCACTAGGGAGACCACACTGTAGTTGCAGCCGTCGTGTGTGCTGACGCGCCAAGTACACTGCAGCCGTTAACGCCAAACAGAAGGGGAGTCTCACCAGCATACGGAAAGAAGCGTAAATGGATGGAGAAGCATAGTTTACTGTAAAGCTACGTCTTAGTGTTGCTTATCTTGGCGAAAGCCGAGTACAAATCAGCATGAAGTTTTAACATCTACTCTCGTGTAATGGAAATCTTAATCAATGATAACACTGTTTGGACCCCATTTACTTTCTTTGTATAGACAAAGGCAGTAAAAACATTCTTTAAAATATCTCCACAGAATGTTCCACATAAGAAAGTCATATGAGGGTGATGAAATTTTTCTTTTTTGAATTATCTCTTTAACATTAACAGACAAAATCATGAGGTGCTGTAACCTGTAACTAAACGTTGATAGTTCTCAGAGCAGTAGTTCGCAGATTTTGGTATTGAGTGACAGGTAGTTCACCAGTGCATTTGTCTAACCAATGAGGTGTGAAGGAACTACCTAGGTGCTCCAGGGGTGGAGCTTATTTGGATGTTCAGGTATATAATGCTCTCCCACTGGTTCTGTGCACCTGTAGCGTGTCACAATCCCTGCCGTGGGGTGACACACAGTTCATTATTATAATGGGGAGGCAGATGGCAGTCCTTTCCATGAGCTCCACTAGCCTGATGGCTCTATTCATTAGCAAGCTTTATCCTCTAACATGCTCTCCAAATAATTTATATACTGCAGACTTCCTCTATCTTCACCCTCACTTTTCTACACTGTGGTCTGCTCGCCGCAGAGCCTCTAGCTAAGACACCATCTTGGAATAATTCTTCATTTGGATCAACAGCTGATAAGTAATGTTTTCATTCTCTTGTGCAGAAGCTCGGGAGCTCTGCTGTATATAATAACCGCTCTGGTCATTTGTCTCCTGAAAACTTTAACAGGTCCTTTGCTGCTGCTTCTTCCCCCCCCCCCCCCCCCCCCCCCGATTTGCCCAAAAGGTTATTTTAATTGACCTGTTAAATATGGCTGGAACATT